GCTCTGAGAAACGCGAATAATTAAATATTTCTGCTACTTTATTATTTCCAGTTTATTTTTTGTTTACAATTCAAAGGTAAAGGTACCTTATTATACTGATTACTGCGGAATATAGTGGTGACCTGTCATTATTACAGTTCTGAAACTTAGTGGTGGTCTTGCTCATGGGTACAGTGCTGAAACTTTGTAATGATCTCTGATGGGTACAATGCTGAAACTTTGTAATGATCTCTGATGGGTACAGTGCTGAAACTTTGTAATGATCTCTCATGGGTACAGTGCTGAAACTTTGTAATGATCTCTCATGGGTACAGTGCTGAAACTTTGTAATGATCTCTGATGGGTACAGTGCTGAAACTTTGTAATGATCTCTCATGGGTACAGTGCTGAAACTTTGTAATGATCTCTCATGGGTACAGTGCTGAATTTTCCAAAACTGAATCATATTTCATCACTAGCATCTTGCTCCCTCGTCCCTTGAAGGGAGAGTCATGCATAAACAATGTCTCATGTAGCATGAAGATGCAGGGTAAGCGCCACAGTATGATCCAGCGTGAAAACCAGCCCATCCTACACTTTAACGTCAGCATATCACTTTTTTGAGAAAGTTAATTAAGATTTCGTTCGAATTTTTAACCCTGGAGGGTTAGCCACCCAAGATAACCTACGAAAGGCAGTGCGTCATCGAGGGACTGTCTGTCTTATTTCCACTGGGGGTCCTCATTCTTGTACCCCAGGATGCGACCCACACCAGTCGACTAACACCCAGGTACCTACTTGCTTGCTCGGTGAACGGAATAGCAGGTGTAAAGAAATACGCTCAATGTTTTCACCCTTACCGGGAATCGAACCACAGACACTTATCATGTGAAGCGAGAGCTTTCCCTACTAGGCCACGGTCCACCTATGTGTGACTGACACAGGAGTGAAAATGTGATTGACTGTTTTCACATACGTTCGGTATGTCTGTGGTTTCTGTTACCTCCTTAACTAAGAGTATCAGTCGAATTTTCTGCATTTATTGGCATTATGGAGTGCTATGATGGGACATATGAAGCACATAGAGAAATTTTCATAAAATCGTGTGTGACATGAGAGTAATGTCCTAGTAACACTGATTCCAGACTTACCTTTTCTTATGTTGTGATTCCAGACTTTCCTTTATTGTGTTGTGATTCCAGACTTCCATTGTCTTGTGTTGTGATTCCAGACTTCCCTTTTTTTGTGTTGTGATTCCAGACTTCCCTTGTCTTTTGTTGTGATTCCAGATTTCCCTTGTCTTGTGTTGTGATTCCAGACTTCCTTGTATTGTGTTGTGATTCCAGACTTTCCTTGTGTTGCGATTCCAGACTTCTCTTGTCTTGTGTTGTGATTCCAGACTTCCCTTGTCCTGTGTTGTGATTCCAGACTTACCTTGTGTTGTGATTCCAGACTCCCCTTGTCTTGTGTTGTGATTCCAGACTCCCCTTGTCTTGTGTTGTGATTCCAGACTTCCCTTGTCTTGTGTTGTGATTCCAGACACCCCTTGTCTTGTGTTGTGATTCCAGACTTCCATTGTCTTGTGTTGATTCCAGACTCCCCTTGTCTTGTGTTGTGATTCTCGTCCTCATAGCTCGACGTGGCTAGTTTTCTCTAGGAGAAAATTCAAGAGGGTGGAAAGTGATGCTGACCTTTATAAAATCATTATACGAGAAATATAGATAAATGGTTCAGAGAACCAACGGGATGATGAATTAGACACCTGTGCAACATCTGGGTATCTTTATTGTGGTTGGCGAAACGTTACCACAGTAAAGATACCCAAGTGTTGTACAAGGGTCTAATTCATCATCGAGACGAGGAATAGCCGAGGCTCTGCTGCTGATCTCTGTATTTGGTTGGAGCTTCCATATGGGAGCTGTGCTCTGTTTATACTTGAGTAAATGAATATCCTTTTGTGTCAGTGCACTGTTCTCCATGTCTGAGTACTGTAATAGTTTATTATTTAGTTACTTTCCATAAATTTTATGACGTAATCTCCAGTACGTCAATTGTGAATTTATTATAAAGTACAACCTTTATAAGTCTGATAACAGCTTACGTGTTATAAATGATGTATGAATCAAACGATAAGTGGTCAGCTACTTTGGTTATACTGAAAGGATTTAAAGAGACTTCAGCACTCCAAATAAGTCGAGTGGAAAGTCAGTAAAGTTTAAGTCAGGTCCCCGACACTGAGTTTCATTTTTTTTTACACAGGATTTGACAAGGCTAGGTTAAGGTTCCTAACTCTGTTTACAAGCTAATAGCTGCTACGTACATCATCTCATTTGAGTTGAGATAAAACGGTGCACTATCGTCAAACCTCATTCTTCATTATATTCTTCTACCGTGTTATTCAATTATCGTGAGAAAGAAGGGTGTACTCCTCACTACTTATGATCTCTCTCCTGTTGCATTGTTTGTTGTAGGGTTAAGGTTGCAAATGGAATGGCGATACCAACAGAACGTGGTGAAGGACATGCATGTCCAGTTCAGGACACTAATTGAAGGAAACACGATTTGCCACAAGGGGGCTACATCAGTCCTACTTAGGACCGACGTGGCATTAAAAGTCATAATTAGGACTGATGAAGCTACTCTTGGCGAAACTTAATAAATGTCCTGAAGTGTTTACAAGTGTTCTTGTGCCTTCCTAGTTTTCATAAGAGAGAAAGAGAGAGAGAGAGGAGAGAGAGAGAGAGAGAGAGAGAGAGAGAGTCGCATATTCACCAAGAATGTCTCATGTGTGGAATGATGCTCATAGCTCAGTTAAGTAATGCACCAGGGCGTCATCAATTTCAAAATTCAATCTAGCCCAGAGAAAACTGCAGAAAAGGCCAAGTTGGAAGTCGATATCCATCGGATGAAAGTTGATTCTTTTACAATTTTTCCCCCCCAACGTAGAGAGTCCATAACCTGAATCAAGAGTCTCCCTCTTGTGCTCATCGTCCTAGATCACGGTATATATATTGACTTTTGGGGGATGGGGAGAAGGTGAGAGGATGGGGAGAAGGTGAGAGGATGGGGAGAAGGTGAGAGGATGGGGAGAAAGTGAAAGGATGGGAAGGTGAGAGGATGGAGAGAAGGGGGTTTGTACGTATGTTTTTTTATTTATATGACTTCGAAGTCGAGAAATGAGAATTCGCGTTTCCTTGGTGAGCTGTGAGTGAAAGAAAGAAAGAAACGGAAAGAGAGAGGAAAAAAATGTTAAAACCGAACTTGCACCGCTTCATGAAGTTACTGAGACGAGAGATGGTGAATGTGAGTCTTAACATTAGACCGTTGCTATGGTGTATTAATAGATCAGATTACTGTGGTCTTGTGGGTAGCTCATTGTGTTCAGGTCAGATAGCTTGGTTCTCTTGATCAGACAGCCATAGTTCTCTTGGTCAGACAGCTGTAGTTCTCTTGGTCAGACAGCCGGAGTTCTCTTGGTCAGACCACTGAAGTCTCTTGGTCAGACCGGTGGTGACGGAGGCATGGCAGTCATCAGAGTCGTGTGTACCAGACGTCATCATCTAAAGAAATACGACCAATAGACGAACATATCCAACTCAACGCTCATGCTTCTCATTCCAGGAGGATTGTCTCGAGGCTGCTAAAGGGCGCCTGATTCGACATACTCCAGCTATTCTCATTAACAAACATTCCCAAGATGCCTTTTAACCAGTGGCGGCTCTTCCATAGGAGTTGCAATCCCTCCCCCAGATGCTCACTGCCAGACGTATGACTTCATCAAGCTTACGCTAAAATAATTTGCAACTGACAAATATATTACAGGAAAATTCTGTTGTACGTTGTGTTTAATGTGTTTAGAAGAGAATTTTTAATTTTTTTGGTTGAAACGAGGTAAAAAATTATTAAAAATAGAATGATGCGTTATGAGCCGCCACTGCTTTTAACCCTGACGGATTTAGCGCTTCTCAACAAATATGACTACTCGCCATCACCTGCGACGAAAGACACCTAGAACTATATATATATTATATATATATATATATATATTATTTATATATATATTATATATATATATATATATATAATGGAGTTCTTCGGGTTGACCTCTGGATTTTGTGGTATAAAATATACATTATAAAAATACAATATATGCTATGAGATTATAACAAAGGAATATAAATTATGAATTCTAGATTATGGTATATAAAATTTGGAATACATGTATAGTGTTGGAAATATAAATTAAGGAATATAAATCTTGAAATATTGATTGTGTAATTCAAATCATAGAATATAAATTATGGAATGTAGATTCTGGAATATATATTATAATAACTGCTAGTGTTTATGGTTTAAAAGACAAGGGACATTCCGGTCCTTGTCTATTAAACAAGTGTGGATTTTACTGTCCATTACATGAGAAATCATACAGCGAAAGACCTAAAGAGAGAACTAAAGAGAGAGCTAGAGAGAGAGAGAGAGAGAGAGAGAGAGAGAGAGAGAGAGTGAGATGAGAGAGAGAGAGAGAGAGAGAGAGAGAGAGAGAGAGAGAGAGAGAGAGAGAGAGAGAGAGAGAGAGGAGGGAGAGCTGAAGAAAGCTAGAGAGAGCTAGAGCGAGAGTTAGAGAGAGACAGCTAGAGAGCAAGAGCTAGAGAGAGCGAATGAACTAACAAATCATATAACAAACGAACGAACGAGCGAAGGAAGGGACTGGCGCGAGAGAGAGAACAGAAGCGGTAATTACATCAGCAAGGCTGGCCTGCCTCCTGTATCCCTTATCCCAAGCAAATATTTCTTTATTCCCTTCGCTAGTAGTTTGTCCGCATTTCTCGCTACTCACTTTCTCTCGCATTATGGCCTTTGAAGCAGCGTTTAGAGCGTGCCTCGCCAGCCGCTTCTTACAGCGTATAAAAGATCACTTGACGCGTGCCCGTTCATCAACGCCATCTGTTGGGTAGCAGAGTAGTTTCTGGCCATCAAGTGCGGTTCTCGCCGCTGCTAGATGCTTTATTGCGGTTGAAAGTGGTGGTAACACTCCTCGACTTCATCGTGTTTGTGTTGGTTGCTGGCTGGTAGCAGCCTTCTACCCGCTGACCAATTCACCACAATATTGATAGTACGGTATGATGCAGCATTTGTTTTACCATCCTTATAGTACTAATGAGTGTAGGACAGAGGTTGATATCCAGTTATTGTTATTATTAATTGCAATAGTAGTTGTTGTAGTAGTAATAGAAGTATCGATTTCTCAATGGGACGTACAGCCATTACAGAGGGTCATTAGCATTTTCTCCTCTTCTAGGGGGGCTACTTGGCGTGGTGAAGAGGCTCTTGGTCTGAGGAATTAGACCTGTCGGTCTCCTTCCTCAGACCGAACCTAATTACCCACCAATCCCCCGTTCCCTATCCCATCCTCCCCATCCTCCTCCTCCTCCCCACCCCTCCCTTTTGCCCTTCCTTTATGGCCTTTGGGATTTTTTTTTTTTTTCTTTTTTTTTTTTCCACAGGCACGCTAGTTCCTAGGTAGGGAAAAGGGTACCGGGGTCTATCCCATTCCGTTGAGGTTCTTGGCGGTGGCGTAGTTTGCCGTGGAATCTGGATGCCTGGGGATGTCCCGATCCCTCTCCGGTACCCCGGAGGGTGGCTTTGGGTGTCTCTCGGGCGAGGGTGTTCTTGGAAGCCACCTTTCGGTTTCCCGGGGGGGTGGTGGCCGAAGGAGGTATGCTTTGTGGCGGATTTCCGGCCGCCCTCTCTTTTGTCCACGAGGTAGGCAGATTTTGAGGTTGCTATCCCGGATTGCCGGTTTACGGGGATGATGGGTAGGGTATTGGCAGGGGTTTCCATGCTGCATCTGCGCAAACTTGCGGTGCTGAGGTCCTCTTGGGGGGCGGAGGGAGTTTTCTGGCCCTTTCATTCCTCCTAGGAACTATCCTTCCACGGTCCCCCTTTTTTATTCTTTTTATTATTTTTATTTTCTTTTCTTCTTTCTTTTTTCTCTTAAGAACAAAAAGAAAGAAGTAACCTAACCATGGCAGCCCTATTCCATGAACCTGCTACCCCCTAGGCCCCTTCTTGATACTGCACCCCGTTCTGACCCCGCCTCGTCTTTGGACCACTCTTCGGACACTCCTCATGCCTCTGTACCTCTTGCCGGTGCTGTTTCCTCACCCGCTTCAGGTACTGAGGCCTCGACTGACTCCTTCGATTTATCTGACCTTCGCTCTCCTCTGACTATGCTTCTGGCCTCTCCCTCTACGGTGCGGCAATTTTCGAATCGACACGTCCTTCACTACCTTTCCACGTTCAGTTTCAGACTGCACAATGGACTAAATTCTTTACTTTATGACCGACTTCCTCTACTGCCTATCTTTCTGACCACAGTATTGGCAAGGCACTCCTATGCCATGTTGGTAAAGATATTTCTTTTCATGCTCTTAAGAGTGGTACGTGCATCATCACCGTACAGAATGCTACCCAGGCTCATGAGCTTTCTCGTCTTTCCCATATCGATACTGTTCCTGTCACTATTGAAAAACATCATTCCCTCAATTCTTGTAGTGGTCCGTCATTCTGCCCATACCATAGTTTAACAAAATTTCCAGACATGTGGCACTGACATTCTTGAACAGCTGGAAAATCCAAGATCTCCCAATCCTCAAGGTAGACACTTATGTTTTCCTGCCCGCGGGCGGAGAAAGATACCCCAGCAATGTGGCTCGTTTAACATTTGACAGCCATGAACTCCAATCCTCAGTTTATGTAGCAGGACATCGGTTACAAGTTCGAAAGGTGATCCCTACACTGCAGCAGTGTAGAAATTGCTGGCGATTTGGCCATTCAGCAAAATATTGCAGATCTATCGCCGAATGCCCGGTCTGTGGTGCCGATGACCATTCTAATATGTCTTGCAATCGACCTCCCTCTTGCCTTAATTGTCATGAGGCTCACCCTTCGTACTCTCGCCGTTGTCAAGTCTACTTAAACGAGCAGGAAATCCATTACCTCAAAGAGGCAGAAGGTCTCCCTTATGCCATGGCAGTTTCTCATCTCCGTCTCCAAGGGAGACTACCTCGTGTTTCTTATTCCCGTGTTTCAAAACGTCCCCCACTTCTGGGATCCATCTTCTGCAACCACCTCTGTGGTTACCTCTCCCATAGTCACTCCTGTATCTAATTCTTTTGCTGTCCTAGACTCAGACGTCCTTACTTCAACGCCTCAGTCTGATCTCGCTTCTTCGTGTTCTCCCTCACAAGCCTCAGTAGCGACGAGATCTCGTATGACACCTCCTCCTAATCGTCCCTCTACTTCTCAAAAGTCAAAAAGAGGTCCGTTAACACCTCCTACCCATCTTCCACCTCCTCATTTTACCTTCCCTGTCTCTGTACCTGGTTCTTCCCTCTCACTGCTCTGTTAACAAGTGTAGAGGTTCACCCTCCTCCTCATACTGTACTTCCTCCCTGTTCCCTCCCAGTTTCTTCCTCTTCTGCCACCTCCCAGGTCCTGCCTCTTCTGTCCCCTTCCACGCTTCTCCAGTTCCCTCCACCCTTTCGCCCCCCCCCCTACCTTGGTACAGTCCATTACAGTTCCAATCTTTATTCATCCTCCCCCTACCATTTCCAATATTGTCTCCCATATGACGTCTCAGAATTCCAAAACACTTGAAGCAATCTCTGAATATATTGCAGAGACCAAACCATCAATGGACACTGATCCACCCTCCGTTCCTTCTCTCTCCTCTGCTCCATCTGCACAACTCCTTTCTTCACAGTGCACCATTCCTTCGCTGCTTGAACGTTTTCCACTGCCTCCGCATGTGGACTTTTCTAACCCCTCTAGTCCGTAGGAACTGTTACCTGTGGATTTCAGGTATCTTTATCATTGCCAATCATGGCCTATTTACAGTGGAATATATGCGGCCTCAGGGGTAATCGGGGTGAGCTTCAGATGTTACTCTCCCAGTTTTCCCCTGTTGGTGTTTGCTTACAGGAACCAAAATTACACTCTGCTGTTATCTCTCCCATCTCAGGCTATAATTTATTGTATTCTTCAGATCCTTTTCCTGATGGGACCTTTAATGAAAGTGCCCTTCTTCTATGCACTGATATTCCATACCATCAGCTATTTGTTCATGCTTTGCTGCATTACACAGCAGCCCGTATCCACTTGCATAGGTGGTATATGCTCTGTTCTTTATATCTCTCTCCTTCTCGGGCATTATCTATTCCGGATATTGCCTTTCTTGTTTCGTCATTACCGCCACCGATTCTGTTACTTGGCGATTTTAATGCCCACCATTTCCTCTGGGGGTGGTCTCACTGTGATTCCCGTGGCATTCAGTTAGAGGCTTTTCTTGCCACCCACCCCCTCCATGTTTTAAATACAGGTACTCGCACCCATTTTGATCCTCGGACTCACACTCTCTCTTGCATTGATCTCTCGGTCTGCTCTTCCTCCACCGCATTAGACTTCACTTGGTCTGTTCTCCCGGACTTACATGACAACGATCATTTCCCAATCATTACTTCCCCCTTCATATTCACCACCTCTTCGCATCCCACGCTGGCAATTTGATCAGGCAAATTGGAACCTTTACTCACACCTAATTGTTTTTAGAGAGGTTCCTTCTTCGTCCTCCATCGATGAGCTTTTACACCTCTTCTCGTCCTCCGTTTTAACCACAGCTTCTAATTGTATACCCCAAACTTCGGGCAGGCATTCTCAGAAATGCGTGCCTTGGTGGTCTCCTGCTTGTGCTCGTGCAGTACGTTTGAAATGCGCTGCATGGGGCAGGTACCGGTACAATAGAACCACAGAGAGACTTCTTGATTTTAAGCAGAAGCGTGTCATCCGTGACGCTAAATGCACTTGCTGGCGAGATTATGTCTCCACCATCACCTCTGCTTCCTCTGTGAGTGCAGTCTGGAAAAAAGTTACGAAAACTGAGTGGTAAAAATTCTCCTGACCCGTCTCCTGTTCTGCGGGTTGCCGGTG